GGTCTTAACCTGAAATCACCCTGTAAATGAACGATCTTCGTGTGAAAAGTCTTTGACACAGTCAGTCACACAACGCTACAGGCATCGAAAAATATGCTCCCTCCAGGATATAATATATTTGTATATTTTACTAACAAGAATTATTCCAAAAGAAAATTAAGAAATGTTCTTGTTCATGAAAATAGTAGTGCCCATTTTGTTAAATGAAAACTAGAAAAAAAAAATTTAATTTTACATTATTTAACTCTAAAGCCTTTATTATTTTTTATTTTTATTACTTCCATACACTGAMGTTGCATACGGAATATTAGATCCTGACTTCGTCTTATTATAATTTGTCCACATGCCTCCTTGACATTAGCCAGAAATTGTGTTAAATTTGATGGATTTGTTGTTGTTACAACTCGTTTAAGATTTCCCCAAAAAAATTTTGTTTGAATTCAGGTCTAGTGTTTTCTCGCGGCGGGATAATACGTCGCTCCTTTCTGTTGCAAACCGCTCTTTAGATAGTTTGGTCGTATGTTTTGGGTTTTCCTAGCTGGCAAATGATAACATAACCTCCGTCAACAGTTTTACATACCAAGCTTAGTTTATGATGCTATATATCAAATATTTAGCTCTAACACCATAGTACGAAGATCAAGTCCATACCATAATGCTCAGACCACCATGTTTAAACATTTTGGGAGCGCGCCTGGAATAATCTTATGTGTTTGGTAGTGGGCGGACATACYTTCTAGACCCGGCTCCACCAAAAATAAGMAATTTTGTTTTCATTTGTTACATTCGGGAACCTTTTTATTTTCAAATTGCTTTCAAATAGTCTCCAACGTTTTCTAAATGTAGTAAACGACTATTAAAATTTTTTTTTTATAATTTTTGTGCTTGATTTTAATTATCGCATTATCTGTCTGTGCTATAATATTGATTTTTGTACATTTTCCTTCATGATTCTCTGCTTTATCTTTGAAGTTTGATATATAGCTTTGATTCCTTCTCTGTTCTGTCTTGTTTCTCATTCATTTCTCAATTCTCAATAGAACAATTTGTTTCTCTACCTACAAAAATGAAAGAGAAATGGCTTTTAAAAAAATTTCATCAGAAAATTTGTAAATCACTTAAATATATTTGCTTATCACAATTATCTAATCATTTACTTCATTTATTGACCCCTAACGACAAGCACTACTACTTTAATGAACAACTTGCTTTTTTAGAAAATATATTGGTGCAGGGGTCGCAGGACCACGTGCAAAACTCTCCATACCTATGGGAAGGTTTCCGAGCATATTCCAAGCGGAGGTATTTGCTATAAGTCGGTGCGTAGAGCTAAATCTCCATCGCGGCTATCGCAACGAACGTATAGCCATACTAAGCGATAGCCAAGCGGCACTCAGGGCGATCTCATCAGACGAGGTAAAATCGCTATTGGTGCAGGAGTGTATAGATCGGCTGAATAGTCTGGCAGAATGCAACCAAGTGCACCTT